AAAATTACAGGCCTCTCTCATCTTTTTAAGTGGGAGAACTTGCACAATTGGTGGCTGACTAAATACTTTTTTGCCCCACTGTATGTATGTATGTATGTTTTCCAAGCAAGTGCAAATGCAGCACCTGTTGGTGACTCATTAAAGAAGCCTTGTCTTTTTCTGGGATTGTACAGTTGCTATGAAGAGGCTTCCATATTTTTGGAATCAAATTTGAAGTATTGCACAGTATTAATCATTACTGAATTAATACTGTAAACACCAATATGATTAACATGTATATTTAATTATAAAAGTATTTTTTAATAAGGAAATTATAGAATTGGCATCAATCACCCTCTTCCAAAAGATTACACAGCTATGCGCTGTATTCAGATCATATGACCATGAGAATAGCTCAAATTGCATTGTCTCTATATAGTGAGCGCACCATTTGTGTTATGGATTTGCCCATTCCTATCTATAGCCTTGTTGGAGGGTAACCTTCATGTGTGAAGATAGATTTCTTCTGTGGCTCTGTAGAATAACTTGTCACACCTTTCCCTGCACATATGAATTATAATTTTATTTACAATCAAGATTTTCTTGTTTATGAACTTTTCACTTTTCAAATAATATATCAGATATTGCCTGTATCTGTATTTTATCAGATTCACTACATGAACACAAAGTAAATGTGAGAAGCGTTCTTATTTTATAACATTAATTGCTGGGCATGAACTTAAAGTGTCTCCTATTTAGGATAAGTAATTCATTTGTCCACAGTTCCTGCTGAGAGTGAGTGTAATATAGATTATGTAATATGTTTCTTTTTCAAATGTATTTCTTGCATTTCAGCAACTGGCTATGCCACAGCATATAAAAATAACAGTGAGCAGGAAGACATTGTTTGAAGATTCATTTCAGCAGGTAAATGAGCAGAAATTTTAAAACTAAGTAGTACATTTTTTCTAAAATTCATTTGATCAGTATTTTTTTATAATTTCAATTTGTGCCTCTACCTTACATCTGCTTTAATGTGATGTGAATATCTATTAGATAATTAACATTCTAAGTAACATTCAGTTTTTTCCTGTGAAGATAATGAGCCTCAGCGCTGTGGACCTACGAAGACGCTTGTGGGTAATTTTCCCAGGAGAAGAAGGCTTAGATTATGGAGGCGTTGCACGGTAGGCATGACTTATTTCATAAAAGAAACCGATAAAGCTGTAAAATTATGCTATAGAAAGTTGCTTAGGTAATCTGAGGTTTCACTTTTTTCATTATTGCCCCGTTATATTGAAATGGTTTTTTTAATGACCTCTATAAAATTCGTTTTTGACTTGAAGATAATTAGAAAGGTAAAACAGTCAATAACAATTTTTCACAGTAGATGACAGCATCTAGATGACCTGGGCTGATCTCAAGAAAAGCTAAGCAGATTGAATTTGATTAGTACAGGTAGTCCTCACTTACCAGCTGCTCGTTCAGCAACCGTTTGAAGTTACAACGGTGCTGAAAAAAGTGATTTATGACAGTCCTCAAACTTGCAGCTGTTGCAGTGTCCATATGGTCACGTGATTGCAATTCAGGCGCTTGGCAACTGGTGCACATTTAAAATGGTCACAGTGTCCCATGGTCATGTGATTGCCATTTGTGACCTTCACAGCCAGCTTCCAACAAGCAAAGTCAATGGGGAAGCCAGCAGGAAGTCGCAAGTCACAGTCATGTGACATTGCACTTAATGACCACAGGTGATTCACTTAACAACTGCAGCCGGAACTGACCTCATAAATTGGGCACGGTCACATGATGTTTCACTTTATGACCATTTTGCTTAGTAATGGAGTCGCCGGTCCTAATTGTGGTCAGTAAGTGAGGACTGCTTGTGCTTAAATGGGAGACCATCAGGAAGTGCTAGGACTGTGGGCTAAATTGAAACATAAAAAAGTCCCGAAAGAAAGCAATAGCAAACCACTTCCTTATTGTTGCCAGGAAAACCACATGGACCTGTCCATGAAGTCACCAGGAGCTCAACTCAAGGGAATTGTGCTTATGCTTTATATTCACAGTTTTGTCACGTTCTCTTAGACCTATACAACAAACGTTGACTGCAGTATCATAATGAATAAATTAAAATGTAAATTATATTTCATGCCTCATCTATATGAGGATAGTTTAATACACTGTGAGGTTCAAATTTAGTTATATTTTCTACAGACTCACTAATATCAATGAGATTTACAATTTATTGTAACTAAAGTCCCAATTTTGAATCCTATACTGAAAATATGAAATTTGGATCCAAATCAATTGTTGAGTTTTTAGACATTTAAGAACAGTTAGAATTGTTGCTAATTTAAGCAGCTGCTAGCATGCAAAATATTTATTTCAGTGCAGTATTAATCCTTAGTTCTAGGTATATAGCACATTCAAAATACCCTTACCTATTCTTTTGATCATGAAAGATTTCTTGTAAAGCCAAATGCATAAGCATATGATCTATCTATATGATTTTCAACCTTCTTCAACTAAACAACTGGAAAATCAACATCAGCAATGTGATTTTATAAACTAAAATATATTAGGTATTGTAAAACAATTTGGGTATAATTAATTTTGTTCAGTACTAGCATTGCAGTGCTTAAGAGAAATACATGGAGATTTCAAGAGTAGTGACTGGCTTATGAAAATAAAACTCTATGTTATCATAGAAATAAATATAAACCTAAAACAAGAATTTTATGTGAAAGCTGAACATTGTAAATCACTAGTTATTGATGCCTGAAGTGCAGGTAGACATCACTGAATATCTCTAAAATTTCTCAGTTATGAACTTGTGCAATGTTGTCTAGCAGATGGAATATTCATTGCAAATAATTGTACAGATGCTAAAGCAAATATACTGTATACTCGAATTAATTGTTAGGTCTTTTAGACATTAACACCAAGGAAATCTATACACAATGCCTAAATTTTATGTTTGTTGTGTGTGTGTGTGTGGCTTTTTTTTGTGGTGTTGACTGTGAGTTCTTTATGTGGTTTCAGGGAATGGTTCTTTCTATTGTCGCATGAAGTGCTGAATCCAATGTATTGCCTGTTTGAATATGCAGGGAAGGATAACTACTGCCTACAGATAAACCCAGCTTCTTACATCAATCCAGACCATCTGAAATACTTCCGCTTTATTGGTAGATTTATTGCCATGGTGAGTTCAATGCATGGAATAATACACATAAAAGTTTAAGATATTATAAAAAACAGCATAGAGAAGCTGAAGGCTCTTAATTCTAGGAGATGAGAATCTCAGTCCATTTTCTGACTTTCCAAATGGGAAGCAAACATTCTTTAAATATATCTTTGGAGCCAGGAAAACCAAGTTGGTATCCTTGGCAGGAGTGATCTTTCCTGTGTTCTGTCCAGTGTTTTATATTTGTATGCTCAGTATATTTAAAAGCCTGCCAAGCTTTTAATTTTGTTATTCCTCTTAATACTTGGTAAGAAGAAAAACATTGACTTGAGAAAAATGTATCATATATCTTGGATAAGGGTGTTATTAGAATAATAATTTTTTTCTGAAATTACTCTGAAATGCTCTAAAATAACTTGAAATTATTATAAGCTGCCACAAGCTTTGGTGAAATAGGCTATACATTTTTTTATTGTAAGTAAGTCATGAAATTTACATGTAATTGCAGAGATGTTTTCAGTACTTTTTAAGTTAAATATATCTAAATTTTATTGACCGCATGTTCTAATAATCCACAAATAAAAGTTAAACTACTCAGCATTGGTCTCTGGGTTAGATACTTTGCCACTGTATTTTTAATCTGCATCATGAAGTATAATAGCCTACTGACATGAATCATAATTGCTAACACAGTCCCCAGACAATTAAATTGATGCTTATATACATAGACATCACCTGATGGAGTATATAAAAGTCAAATTGGTACAAAGATGTGGCCAGGGGCTGACTATAGAACAAATCACAAACTGCTTATATGCAAGTACTAAATCAAGTTACAGCAGAAGAACAAAATCAGCCAGTTTCCACAATATGATCTTGAGATAATACCCACCATTTTCAAGGAGAACATCCAGAATCGCTTTGATGTCTTGACCTCATTGATTGCAAAGCAGAAGAACTGTGGAATGAAATCAAATAAGTCGTTACGGTGAACGTGAAAAAAAAACTGCCAAAGAGCCAAAAACAAAAAAAAAGCAAACTGAGACTGCAGTTATAGCATATATTCTGTTGTAAGGGTCCTTTTCATGAAATTTTCTTTCAAAGTGTGGGTGGTAGGGGTGGAGTAGGTTTCAAATCAGATATGCACAGTGCAACTAATCTAAGATGAGTAATACTTTCTGTCCTTTTCAGGCATTGTTCCACGGAAAATTTATAGACACAGGTTTCTCTCTACCATTCTACAAACGTATCCTCAACAAGCCAGTTGGACTAAAAGACTTGGAATCTGTAGATCCTGAGTTCTATAATTCCCTCATCTGGGTTAAGTGAGTTTCTGATTTCCACTTCTTGATTATTAACATTACCTAATGTATTTGCCCATATTAGTAAATATTTAAATCTTACTGAAAAATTCAATTTCTCTATTCACACTTGAATTTATATTTTAATAGAAATATTTATTAATTTGTTTATTTATTCAATTTATATAGCCGCCCATCTCACATGTGTGACTCTAGGAGGCTCACAAAGTTAAAAACAAAAAACAAAACAAATATAAATAAATAGCAAAAAACAACAGTAACAAAAACCAGCAAAAAAAAAAAAACAAAGCAACTAACCATAAAATGTAAAATGTGGGAGATTACCAACCAACAGCTTTTGAACAATATAGCCATCTCACTGGTTCCATACCTCCACAGGATCACCAGGCCTGATGACAGAACCATGTCTTTGGGCTCCTCTGAAAGGCCAATAATATTTCATGAAATTCAAGTATTTAGAGAGGTTGATATTTCTAATTTTGACAGACTTTAGATTTTTTAATTGTATGATAAGTTGTAAAACAGGATGGGCCACTCTGCACTAAATAAAGCCTCAACATTGTTTGGGGGGAGGGGGGCTCTACCCCAAGATTGCATCATCAAAATTTGATAACATATCATTGATTTTCATTGCCATGTTGTTTCATATTTTGAAAGAATTAGGGATTAGATGTATTAACTCTCCATTGGGCTCAACAAACCTATTTTTCTTTTTTTAAAAATATTAATCTCAACAAAATGTTGGCTCCATCAACTGCTGTAATGGAATTGTGCCAGTGCCACCCTACTATTCTCAGAGAATAATATTAAAAGGAAGCATGGCTCATAGCTGCAGAAAAAGATTGCTGATTTTAAAAAGTGTTAACTACAGTCCTAAGCATGATGTTAACAAGACTAATTTCCAAATAAATGTAGTGTCAGACTGTACATAACAAAAATTTTCTATAATTAATCACACATGGTATTGGTTTTGTAGGGAAAACAATATTGAAGAATGTGGCCTAGAAATGTATTTCTCAGTTGATAAAGAAATTCTAGGTGAAATAAAGAGCCATGACTTGAAACTCAATGGCAGCAATATCCTTGTTACTGAAGAAAACAAAGAAGAATATATCAAGTAAGTTCAAAATTACTTTTAAGCATAATTTTTATTGGTTCCAGAGTTGCTGTTCCCTGATCAGAGGGTCTCTTTTCATTCATGCACATATCTTGGACGCAGTAAAACGACTGCTGGAGGAGGGGGAAGGAGATTTTTTTCATCAATTTCATCTTTCTCCTGCATGCTATTCAAGAGGGTCCTCTAACTCCGCAGAGTAGTTATGGGGAACTTCTGTCCATCCAACTGAACTACAGCTTCCAGCATCCCTCGCATTGGCCATGCTATCTGGGATTGTAGAGCTGTAGTTTGATAACTTCTAGAGCACCAGAAGTTTCCCATTCTTGTTTCAGAGGCCTGTTCAGCTAATATAATGTGAGAAAGTGAGTCAAGCTCCCTGCATTCTTGGACTACATTTCAGTATGTGTGAGGTGTCCAAGGGCTGCATGTGTGATGCAGTTTGGCCATGTGTGCCTTAATCTTCATAATTCCAGAAAAAGTCCCTTGTCCAAATTGCAGTCCACTAGAACTGTAAATTGAATATAACAGACAATGTGTCCTGATTGAAGCACACAAGGCTGGAAGCTAATCTTGTTCTTTTGCCATGGTGACTTCAGCTGAATATTCTGCTGGCTTCTATGCTCTTTTGTTTTTATGCACTAACTTTTCAAATAGTGAATGACTGCAGTATTTTGAATTCTTATAATTTTCCATTGCTTTATTTAATTAATATTATAATTCAGCTGAATCAAGGTGAATGGGCCGTTTTTATATGAGTGTATATTTTCTTTTCAAGGCTGGTGGCAGAATGGAGGCTTTCCCGGGGTGTTGAAGAGCAGACACAAGCTTTCTTCGAAGGATTCAATGAGATTCTTTCACAGCAGTACTTACAGTACTTTGATGCCAAAGAGCTTGAGGTAGATCTTTAAACCTAAAATGTAGCTAAGAACAGAGACTGATAAATTCAGTGACAGTTTATTGTTGGAATGAGGAGAGTATAGGACAACCGTTGCAATTAGTAATCTGTGAACTTATCCAGGCAATGCGTAGATTAATTTTAGGACACTTCCACACTACCACCACTTTCATTCCCCCATCTCTCAAAAGCAGTTTGAAACCAACCCAGCATCCTTCAAAAGTACATAGTGATTTCTCCCCAGTTGACCAGCTGTAGAGTGTAAAAACAGCTTCCAAAATTTTTTTTCTCGTTTCCTCCACACATCCATGGTTTTATTTCATATTGTGTGGCTGCCTGGTGATTTCCAAAATAAACAGAGTGGCTGAGAACGCATTAAGATAGTAGCTCTTTTTTGCATTTTTTGCAATTGAAGTACTATAATAGGAAGTTGGGTAGACCTTTGGCAGCTGAAAATCTGGAGGGAGAAGGAGAAAGCTGAGTTAACTTGAGGCAGAGCAGGGCAAATTGCACACTCATCAGTGTGAAATTTTCCTGGCTTCCATGCTTTTCAGTTCCCTTTGAATCCAACTTTATGCATATAAGTTCACGTAGATGTGAGCAATGCTACTGTTAGAGACTACTGTATTTTAATCTCTGGGCTACCAAACTTTAGCAAAACAAACAAAAAATCTCAAATGCCCAAAGACATCTTAAGAGATGTTTTCTTTCTTACACTGCAAATCATGGCAAATAAATACATAAATCAGGCCTTTGCTTGTGTTGCGCTTCTCTTCCCCAGGTGCTTTTATGTGGAATGCAAGAGATTGACTTGACTGATTGGCAAAGACATACAATCTACCGGCATTATACCAGGACAAGCAAGCAAATCGTGTGGTTTTGGCAGGTTTGTATTGCTTGAATACACATCCTAATTTATAAGTTTTGGTAATGCGAACATTTTAGTGATGGCTATTCTGAGAAACTAAAACCCACTCAGTTCTTCAAACAAATGCTTAAATAATATCCCTCTTGAGTGAAATTGTCTTTTCTTCACCATTTCTAGAGGTGAAGCCAAGTTGTCTCTTGAAGCAAGAATAATTTTTTATAATATTGTATTATGCCATACATTTAAGATTATGTTGTCTGAACATCAGGTAATATATTTATTCAGACAACCATTTCAAAGAAATTTTCTTATTGTCTAATAATTTCCACTGTTTCTTTTCCCACTGCTCCATTACAAACAAGCTAAAATACTGAGGTAAAAATGGATTACGTACATTTTATCTCTTTTTGAATGTTGAACTACTTGCATCAATTGTTAATAGTTTTGGACAGATGCAACATTTTCATCTAAGTAAAAATATAGCATTTTCTTTTTCTAAATTTTGGATTTTTATACATTTGTGTGTCAGTCTTGATTCCTGACAACTACATGGACAAGTCCATGCAGCATTTTGTGGAAGTGTTTTGTCATTGCCTTCTTCTTAGAGCTAAGTGAGAATGCCTGGCCCAGAGTCACCCAGCTAGCTTCATTCCTAGGGCAGAACTAGAACTCATGGTCTCCTAGTTTTTAGCCCAGTGCCTTTCCAACTGGCTCTCAAATTTTGGACAGTAGTCCAGTAAATTAGAGAAATATTTAATATTTCAATGTATAGCTTTCAGCTTGTAGAAGGCTGCAAATGTATTAAAATAATTCTTGATGTAAGAGTTATTTTCATATATTCAGCTATGGCTGTAAACCCTTCATGAATTGGCAGTAGATATTGGAAGTGTTAAATTGTTTTAAATGATCTATTTTATTTCAGTTTGTGAAGGAAATAGATAATGAGAAGAGAATGAGATTACTTCAGTTTGTTACTGGAACATGCCGATTGCCAGTTGGTGGATTTTCTGACCTCATGGGTAAGCAAAATTACGTGAGCTGGATTAGCATTGTTTGGTAAAATTTGGGGCATGAGCTCAAGTCATTAAGCATTTATAGATGAGTTGGAAACATTAACATCTGTTTACCAGATTCTTGTTTTTCACAGATAATGGCTTAACTAATTATCTTTGCAAGAAATGAGCCCCCAAATGTAAGCATTTTAAAAGTGAGACACATTGCATGTGGTTAATGGATAAAAGAGGTGTGCATGAAATGAAAAATAAGTTTTGTGTCAAACATAAACATTGCATCTTGGAAATTCTGTTTCAAGCTGGCCACAGCCAGGACAAAACAAAATCCAGGATGGTTTACCTGTTCTGGATTCAGACAAACTAAACCCTGAAACCATTGTGGTTATTCTGATTATACAAAACAATGGGATTCAGTCTCAGAAGAATCCTTTTTGCAGCTATCCATATGACCATTACATGGGAGCAACAAGTTTTCTGTATTTACTTTAGACTGCTGCTAGCATTTTCTCTCATCACTGGGAACTGCCCTCCATGGTCATTTTGGCTTGGGCTGCAGAAGAGACTGGACAGCTACCTGCCACGGAGACAGCTGCTTGCATTATCACCCAGACTATTTAGCACTGTTTTGGAAGACTGCTAGACCTGTGTTGAGAAATAGCCTGACTGATCACAAGTGTAGAGCACTTTAATGTCTGCAATCTGTCAGTTGGGCAATTTATTCAATCCCACAACACATTAAGGAGGCCACACACATTAATTCATATACATGAAGTCCAATTTCTCCACACGAATCATTAAAAAAACCCATCAAACTGGTCTAGAGAGAAGTTGGACACTCCATTTGTAAGAAGCAGCATCCAGCTAAAATAGAACACTCAAAGTATTTTTTGATATATAGATAAGCCACATTCTAGATTTTGCCCAGGGGAAAACATCTGAAATGTGTGTCATTCAGTGCAGGGAATGGCTTGTACAAAGAATATTTTGCACATCTCTAAAGGGTAACAGTTTCACAATATTGTTGAACAATGCCATATCTTGCTAATGGAGAAAGTACTTTTATGTTACTTGAGGTTCTTAAGGATTGATTCTAGGGATAGTTAATTCTAGGCCTTGATAATTCTTTGGGCAGAAGGCAACACAGCAGAGATCATTTCTGCCTCTTTTCTGTTGTTACTCCAAAAGAAAGATTGGGGACTCTCCAGAACACTGTGCTGAGTACTGTAGGAGAAGTAAGAATAGGAAAAAGTAGGTATACTACCCTATTTTATTCTGCACCCTTGCATCATTTCATTCTCTGTTGGCAGTAGAATAACTCTGAATAAAATCTGATTTCTTTAGCATCTTGAAGGAACGTACTGCCTTCAAGTACATACCTCTGTACTATTGGAGGTGTGATCATTTATTATACAGAATGATTCACGTTAGAAATATTAGAAGACTGTACTGATCCATTATGGCTGTGCAGTGCTTCAAAACATCCAGAAACATAAATGTAGCACCTATGTATGTGTCATTAAAGTATCTGCATCTGCTATATGATTGCAGAAAAAGACATAATTGCTTTAATGAGGTGCTTCATTCTTATTTCCACACGTTCTGAAGAACTGAATCCCAAGCATTGCACAGTTTTATGGTCCATATTTGTTTGTCATTAAACTGGCTTTTATCATAACTAGTGGTAATCTCTGGGTTTCCTTATGCAACTTTTGAGAGAGTATATGGTTCTAGCCAGCCCTACTGATGTACCTTTCCACTTCTGTTAAACTTAGAAATAGGTATGTCCTGCCTTTGGCCTTCATAAGCAAACTGCTGTAAAGTCTTTGTATGAAGGATCTTGTACTCTCATGCAGACACAGCAATATGCATAACTACAGAAAAGTTGTTAATATGTTATCCATATGTAAAGGAGATGACCTTGATATGAAAGAACCAAGAGGAACTTTAAGAAGCCATTACATAGTCCACAGACTGAGGCAAGCATGAGAAAGAAACTCAGAATAACCTTCTTTGTTTTTGTTAGTTATAAGAGAGGAGAGAGAGAACTTTAAAAAGCTTTCAAGATTCTATTATTATACAGTACAACCATAAAGTAGCACTCGTAGAATCCCTGCAGTGTCTGTTTCTTCAAAGGGCTGACACCATGTTCCCCTCACCTTACACAGAGCAGGGATTCTTAAACAGGCTTTCTTGCAATGTTCTGACCAGACAAGCAAATTCCACCTTGGCAAGGCAGTGCCTGATGTAACCCACTGCTGTACCACATAGGGCTTTGTAGGTCATTATCAGGATTTTGAGTTGGCCCAGAACCCTACCGGTAACAAGTGCAGTAAGTTTAGTAGTTGTGCAATTATATCTTATTATGCTTCTCATTGCATTCCTGATATAAAAACATATGGCCTAATAGTGTTAATATTTATTTATTAATAGTATTTTTAAATTGCCCATATCATCACTCATGCAGTAAAACCTCATAAAGGCCACCCCTGACACCAAGTACAATGCTCCCCAAAATAAAAAAAGAAACAGCAGACCAGTCTTCATTAAATGTAATGGGTTGTGAGAATAACCTTGAGGAACAGGAAGAAGAGCTGCAACCAAGGAAATTGTCAGATAAGAGAAATCCTATTCCAAAGCAGGAATGTAATTTCAGAAAGCACCTCAGACTTGACTCTGTGTGGTTCTCTTGAATTGTGAGGGAATGTATCTATGAGGAGAAGAGTGATGTGGGAGATCAAGGCTATCAGGAAGGAGGGGGTGCCTTCCAGCAGGGGAAAGGAGACAAAAGA